GCTTTAGGAGATTATATTAAAATAGGCTTTTTATTTGAAAAAAAGCAAGGTATATTCCTTGCACCAAATGTTTTAAATTAATCCATGTATGTATCAAATGCATTTTAGCTTAAAAGACAAGGCAATGTATTTTTTTTTTTTTTTTTTAATGTGGTGTAAAACATCATCTCCATTTTTAACAGAGGTGTGTAACAAGTAAAATATCCCATACAGCTTCAGGTTATACAAACAGTTCATATTTTTATAGTTTTAGAAACTGAGTTGGAGGGGAGTGGGGGGCATACCCCCCCCCCCTTTAGAAGACATTTAGATTCTTTTCTGCTCATCACCCTCCTGTTTTGGCACTTTAGCTGCTTATGAAATTTCCCAACGTCGTAGTGAACAAACTTTTTATTTTGTACAGAAATTGAAGTACATGAATTTATTGCAACACGTGTTGCAAAATCTTTGCCCGATGCATAAGCTTTTTGACTTGTGCGTGTGCACAGTCCGCACATTGCTCAAAGTTTTGTACTTTGAGGCCCTTTTTATTTCTTACTCTGCTTTAATGTCACCAGCCTTGCTCACTGGAAAAGACCACTGGCTTTGCTCTCAGAATTGCAGCAGTTAAGAGAATCCAGGCAGCTCAGGGAAGTTTGAAATCTCTTATTTTCAAAGCTGCGGTTATGTTCAGTGGTGCAGGGCATGTACAGTGCAGTATGCAGTTTCCATCTAAAATCCTACAACTACAGCCATTTTTTTTTTTTTTTAATTTTTTTGAAGAGGCATCCTTTTTTTTTTTTTTTTTTTTTGGAAGGCTTACCCTCTGCTAAGCAGCACTGAGTTGTCGGCAGCCACAACTGGGCCCAGCTCCTGGGTGGAGTTGTTGAAACTGCTGGTGAAAGCGGGTGTCCAGTCACCAGTGACTGAGCTAGTGGGTCGAGGAGGTTTTTCTAGGCCTCCTGGGATGGCATCCCGATAGTCTGTAACAAAGTACAAATTACTCAATTTCCAGCTTTGAAAATAAACTGTCAGCCTGTAACTGGGCTCTGTACATACAGTTAAATGTTGCTGCTGCTTCAAAACCCGATGTGGGAAAATGTCAGAAGGATGACTGCTTAAATAGCTGAGTTTTACTGAAAGGCTGCAGAGATAATTCAACCTAACCACTGTGGTAGAGGTTAGAGAATTGCATTTCGGGTACTGTGGATGCACGTACATGTTGGCTACTTTCTAAACTTCTCTCCAGTGAAAACTTAAACAATGGAAATTTCTTTAGCAGGCTACATGTAATATTAAATAAGCAAGATAAAATGAAGTGTGCAATAATTCTGGTTTGCCTACGTGTCCCAAAGGGCTAATTTGGTTTCTTTATTATACAATGAAGTTCATGTTGTTTGTTTTTAAAAAATGTGCATAGTAGTTCCAGCTAAATAATTGCTTTAAAACATGTTTTGGATGCACGATGAGCAATCATTACTCTAAAATTTGGGAACTGAGTTTAAGCTTGTTGCTCTAGGGTATTTTTGGGTTTTTTTAGAATTTGAGGGTTTGAATTAGTTGGTTTTCTTTATTGACGGCTTTTTGATTACTCATTCAATTCTCGTTGTTTGAACAGTTCTAATATAAAAGTCATGGAAAGTTTTTTAAAAGTAAAATAACACCTTTCGGGAGCCTTTTCTTCCTTTGTCTTTCATGCGTCACTTAGAAGAAAAAAAGAAAAAGAGAAAAAAGAAAAAAAAAAAGAAACCTCAGAATTTTCAAAGTGACTCGTGACCGGCGAGTCATTTGGGAGATTTTCTACCAGCAAGGAGGTATCAGGGCCTTACAGAGTGTTTTGAAGAACTGGAAATTGCTGGTACAAACTGGTACTCTGTTACATGAAATGCCGACATGGGTGTGCATTAGCCTTGCAAAAGTGCTCAGAAAATATACCAGTCCAAGTACAAAATCGGTTTTTAGCAGGTTGAGAGCAAGTGACTGATGCAAGCATTTGTTTTTCCTTTAAACTTGGTGTTCAAAAAAACTCCTTGCCCCAGGCTACTGGAGCATGTAGAATTACCAAGGCAGCTCAGGAGCTACAGAGATCTCTGGATTTACAAATACTTGCAGTATCAGAAAGCTGCTGTCCTCCTCGTGCCTTCTGAGAAGGAGCTGAGCGGTGATGCAGTTTGAGAGGAGATGCAGCCATCCTTAGCCAGAGCTCCCATAAGAGAGGTAGAGGGGAGCGGTCCCTTTTAATACCTCTGCTTTTGGTGGATCAAAGCACCTTGCATAAAACTCTCCCTCCTAGTAATGGAGGAAGGAGCAGAAATTCCAGATTTGTAGCATTTGTTTAGCTGGAGCTGATGAAGGCCCTGCTGTCTGGGAAGCAGCCTGTCCCTTTTCAAGCATTCAGACTGTCGGCACTGGAGAAACTTGGTGCAGAAATTCCCACTGGTTCTCCCAGTGAGGTCATGTGTAGATGCAGGTTCAGCCACAGGATCCTGGCGCTGTGCTTGGGGTTCCTTTGGACCAACTCTGGTTGCTTCTTGTATGGGGGGGAGGACGCTGTGAGCATCTCTTGGCGGGTATTTCTAAAACCCCTGAGCCACACATCCAGGAGTAAACGGGCCCCAGTGGGAAGGAGGGGGTGGAGGCGGCAGGATACAGGTTCTGTTCCTGTTGACTAATGTGGCACACGATTGTTAGATAATGGATATAAAAACTGACGGTGATTTGATTTGATATTTCTCTTCTGAGTCACAATTTTTTAAACTGCTTTGGCATCTGCTGAATGGCATTTAGCAGCCACATTGCTGAACCTGTCCCACATCAGTGCTTCAGTGGCTTATAGAAGGTCCTGAGTACATAAACTTATCAGTGCTCATTACAACGTTCATCTGAGAACAAGGTGTTTAGAAATGTACTGTATTTTCTGTGCAAAGTCATCTGCCATAAACCATGGAGTGATTCAGAACAAGGTTCATAGTTCCTTCTTTGTTCCTTTGTTAATCACTGACTAGTGGGAGGTGCCTTTAGAATTTGCTAATGCATTCTTTTTGGATAAGGATGACGCACAGATTGTCCTAATAAGGACTGAAGTTTGAGAAAGGGGCCGCCTTCTTTGAGAAGATAGGGGCAAGTCATAGGGCGGGCAGTTTCTTTTTTAACTGAGGGATGACACAAGCACAAGTCATTTCCTTATTAATCGGTTCAAACCAGTTCTTACAGGAACTGCTGGTGATAAATGTGGGACTTCTGAGAAGTCATTCATTTTATTCTCAGCACTGCTTCAGTGCACAGCCCCAGCTGGGCTTCTCCCTGACTCAAAGGAAATACTGGAGCTCAGAGCCTCTCTCCATCTTACCTCTGAGCTTGGCATCTGTAGTCTGCTGTGAAATCCTTTTTTTTCTTTTTTACCTCCTTTATTTATTTACTGAGGGCCTGGGGACCCATTCATCCCCTTCAGATGAACTAAGCGAGTGCTCTATATAATATGGCTATCCCATGCGGTGATGCCTTCTGAGCCGTGGCTTGAATCTGAACTTTGTTCTGTTGAGTCCAGGTGGTAAGTTTAAAAAAAACAAACAAACCCTAAAATGATGTTCTTGTTTTGTCTCTCCCCACAATTTGTCTTGTTTTCTGGGATGCATTTGCTTCAGTGCTGTCCCAAGTATAGGTCCTTCTCTTCAGAAGCCGTTCCAAGAATACTTGGAAGCTCAGCGGATAAAACTCCACCACAGACCTGACAGTGGAGTGTCACAGGTAAGAACGCCACCCATCCCCCTTTGCCACTTCTTGGCTATCCCATGACTTTACTCCCCAGCTTTGCTAGGCAGACTTCTGATTCCAGTTTTCAGAGACCTGCAAATGGCAAAGGAAAGAAGATTTCAATCTCACCTGAAAAACCAGCTAGAAATTTTGGGGGGAAACTCTTTGAACTGCAGCAGGGTTAGGGATTTGATCTGTTTGGGGAGCAGGCTAAAGCACCTAAGCCAAGCGGCTAGTTTCTCTTGCCTCTTGGTCTGCCTAGTGGTGCATAAGTGATCGAGATGGGGAAGAATTGAGGTTACATGAAAAAAGAAGTCCCTTCCTCACTGATTATGACTAAAGCCTGTAGGATGTGAATGAAAAGACAATAAGGGGAAGGTGATGAAGTGATGGGATCCTTTCATAGAACTAATCTTTAAAGCTGGGGATACCAAAAGATGGAGGAAAATCTACTCTCTTTTTTTGAAAACCAAGAGGTAAATGCATACAAATTATTAATCTACTGTAGACTTGACTATCTTCAACCCAAGCCCTGTGTTCCTATAAACATTGGCTTTCCTAATGCTTACCAGAAAGCAGGATAAGGGAGGGAGGATCAGACTGGAATAACTCAATAGGCAGAAGCATGTTCTGGACGTTGCAGTAATAGTTGTGCACTGCTGCCCTCCTTTGACCAAAGCCAACAGTTAGGGGAAGAGCCCAGGACTGGAAAACACTTCAGAGAAGCGTGACAGTCGCATTCACTTGCAGTGACACAAGGGCTGGAAAGGAGCTGGAAGTTGGCACGCTGCGCGCAGTGTAGGAAACTAGTGACCCTATTGTTCTCTCAGCACATGGGAACGGCAAGGCCTGACATCAGGCTCCGCTCGCTCTGAATCTTGCGAGCCGCCAACAAAAAGCAAGACGAGGGCCAGTAAAGTGCTGACTCGTGGTCATTAGCAAGGATTCCTGCTTTGCCCTGCAGCGACTTGGCTGCCCCTTCCCTGGTCCTTTTAAAAAAAAAAAAAAAAAAATTGGCTTTGCAAGGGAAGTGGCAGGGATCCCATCAGACTTCATTCACAAAATTGCAGAATCCTGGAATGGTTCGAATCCTTCCTTTCAGCTACCAAGAGAAGAATCCTTCTCTGTACGAGCTGCTAATCCGCCTCTCTCCTTTTTCTGTCTTGTGTTTTTTTTTTCCTGCAGGGGGAAAGCTGGTTATCATGGATGTTTGAAAAGCTTGTCATTGTCATGGTTTGCTATTTCATCTTGTCTATAATCAACTCCATGGCCCAGAGCTATGCCAAGCGGCTGCAGCAGAAGATGTACTCCGAAGAAAAGACCAAATGAGCTGGGGAACCCCCCTTGAAATGGTCTCTCTCAGACATGAAAGTGACAGGTGTTACCATATATTTAAAATCGGCATTATTCAAAACAGGAAAAAACTTTTTAAAATCATCAGTTTTTCAGCTGTAACAAGTTTTTCTTTTCGTTTGAAAGTAATTTGGGTTTTAGAGCAGAACTTTCACTGACAAACTTTATGTATGTTAAGGTAAGGTAAACACTCTTTAACTCAGCCTGAGCTGTACATTAAGGGGTGGTGTGTTGAACTCATGTTTAACATAAATGCTGTCCATTCCAATTTACTTCCAAAATTGATTTGATACTTAGCACAAGTCCAGATGCCCGACTAACTCGCACCCCGGCCTAAAAGTAGTGTCTTTATTTTGAAGGATGGCTCTTTCACTTTTTTCCTAATTTCCAAGTCATTGAAATGTATAGAAACAATGATAGACTGGATAGCAATCTTGCATGTTCCTCCTGAGAACATTATCCCACGTGAACGCTGAGAGAGATCCTCCTGTACTGCACGTGCCTCGGTTGGGAAAGCCAGCCTGGCCGACTTTCTACGGGTGTGAGCAGAGATGGTTGCGGTCAAACTGGTGACACTGACATTTTTTATTCTGTATATTTAGAATGAAGTCGAGGTAAAAACTTTATAAAGTCATCTTTGATCATTCCAGAATTTCTTGTGTCAGTCTTTTTCAGCTGTTTCTTCTCCACTGCACCTTTTGCATATTCTGTTTATCTTGAGTTTCTTTATTGAGCCTCTGTATTGCATGCTTTTACTAATCCTTCCTGTGCACATGGGGCAGAAGCCTTTTGTTCTTGATTTGGCTCGCAAGAACTTCTTGCTCAGGAGAAGGAGGTAGAAAGCATGGAGTTGGCACCTTGCACTTTGATTTATTTAAATTGGCCACCTGAATTAAAATTCCATTTATTTTTATCATATCACTGTAGAGGTTTGCTTCGGGCAACAAAGTGCAGCAGCACCAGAGATGCAGAAAAAGAGATGGGGGAGCGTGGATATTTAGAATTAAGACGGATTTGGTGTAAAACAGTAATGGTAATTAACAACTGCATTAAAGAACATGAAAGTGTACTCAGATTATCCAGATATTCGTTTTCTTATAAATATTGTTACAGATCAGTGTGTTGCCAGGTTTTAATGTATGTGAAATGAACCAACATTAGCGATAGGCTTTGTTCCCTTTTAGTAAGTAGGTTGCTGTTCTACTGCTGTTGTATATAGAATGCTTCTCTAATAACTGCTGAGCTAGTAAGGATGAGCTAATTAAAAGAAATAATTCTCCTTTCCTTTACTCGGATGTTCTTTAATGGTTTTGCGTGGAGCACAGTTAGGATAGAACTGGCTCAACACCTTTTCAGTTAAATGCTTCTCTACGATAGAGCAGGGCCGCTCTCAAGCAAGGTGCAGTAACTGTGTATTTTGTTCAGTCCTGCCTGAATGTCCACTTGTGTTGCCTCCCGTCGTGACATCTCCATGGCTGTACCATCCTGTCGGATAGCTTATCAGACTGATGTTGACTGTTGGATGTCATGGCAACAACAGTCGGTAGGCTGTCTGACATTTTGGTATCTTTCATCTGACCGTTTGCTCATCCATCTCAAACTTGTTTTCATTGAACATCAACAGGCATCTCAGTGTTTGAAAGTTAGGATGGATCTGACTTCTAATGTAAGCCCGTCTTAAAATTCAGCACTCGGCCTCAGAAGCATCCCAAGTGTGTGTGAGATGCATGCTGTTTTGCTTTTGTACACCTCATATATAACTTTAAGCAAGCTGACAGTGTTATTGAGCAAGGGAAGTTTTTTATATAGGCATCTAACCAGAACTTCTAATGAGAACATTGTTTCTCGATCATCTACGCTGTTGGAGGGACGGGGCAAACTTTTTAAAGGCAGTAGGGGCATTTCATTGCCCATCTTTTGTTGGGGGGAGGGTGAGGGGGACAGGATTAAATGCCTTTTTTGCATCTTTAAAAATCTTGTCCCTGTCTTGAAAGAGAAACCATTTTCGTATTAAAAACAAAAAAAATTCTAGAGCTGAGATTTAATTTTCCTCCTTTGGCCCCATTATGGCCTTTGAATGAAACGTTAATAACAAACTCAAGCAGCTGCATTCAAAAAAAAAAAAAAAAAAAA